CTTCGTTCTGCCCTGGTGTGTTTAACTGGTCAGGATTTGCGCGCCCATTGCAGAAAACCGATGCCTATTTCAACTGGGGATCTTTCTACACCAATTCCAGCTACATGTACATGCACTTGTTCTGCCTCTATTGTTATTCAAGTACATGTATATGTATATTCACACTTTACTCTTCGCTATCGTTCCTTTTTGTGCTCCTTGCTGTGTGGCTGAGTATACTTGCCGAGTACCTTGTAGTGCTGTCTACAGCCATGTTTCAGTTTGCTGATAGCCTACATGTAATGCGTGATGATTGATTCAAAAAACTCTCAGTAGCATGGGATATGTTTCCTTGGTGAGAATCCAACCGCTTTCGTTGTGCGTTCATACACATAGACATTGGTCACATACACATACATGTACATGTACAATCATGTATTAAAAATTTGATTAATATTTTAGCGATAAAGAGAACAAATTCTGCTGTCATCGCCACACTGAGAAACAGGCACTGATCTGCACATTCAAGGAGTTTCTTCTGCCTTTGAGCTGTTATCAGACTGCCTATCTCCGGAGACTAACTGATGCTCCTTGCTGCTTTTCCTCTGAATATATATGGTTCGAGCTTTGTGCTCCGAGACAGTGGTATGGAGAGCTTGCCCAATCGATCACCAAAGTATAAATGAACTACACCATGATTGCACGTGATGTACGCCAGGGTAGTGACTTGGGGGTGGTGCTCAGTCCCATAGCACGCACTTTCAGAGGCACACGACCAAATTAATAATATTTGTTTAAGCGAAATCATAATTATTAGCTAGTAAAGTGTAATGGTGTTTCGTGGCACGTTCATGTGTGGGTTTTGATAGCGTGTGTACAATGGTCTTTATCACAGGCTAAATCATGCAGTGCTGAAGTGCCAGGCCAGATGGCCAACAGACAGGTGCACCAGTTTTGTGTACATGTACTTGGACGTACAGGGATAGGGCCAGGGACAATTAGGCACCCTTGAGTAACATACTTGCTAAATTTAATATTATGCGGAGATAATAACTTTTGTGAGAGGGGTTTACAGGGTGAAGATAGCTCTAGCTCGTCAAACCTCTTGAGTAGAGTGACGCATGTCCGTTTCCGAACAAGCGGCTAAACAATTGTGTTGAGAAACACAACCAGCTGAGGACGTTTCGCTTGTGCCAGGCCACCACCACGCCTGCGATACCCTTGAACAAGTTAATGAGCCTTGTATTGTCGTATCGTAACACGATTACTCAGGCGCATAAAGAATACAGGTAGTTTAGAGTAAACGTTACTGTATCCTTTGTCATGGTCCCAGTACCACCACAATATGTCTGCATGCAGCGTACGTCTGAAATGGAGGGATTCTAAGTTACACATACTATTTAAACTATTATTTGATTCATATCTGTCAAATTTTATCTTGGCTGATCCTAGTAACTGTCTACACACCTTAGCCTGCAGGACATCAAACATAGCTAGCTGTGGAGTAGTTAGAGTGAGGGTCCAGATTGGGGTGGCATATTCTATTGTGGGGCGTACATTGTACATACATGTATGATTTGTAGAGCAAGGCAATGTTGGGGTAAGGTAGATGTAGATAACGACCCATATAGCACAATAGATTTACTCTTTGCTGAAATTTCTTTGATATGGTATTGAAATGATTATCGAACTTAAGATTACCGCTGAGCTGAACTCCCTTAATGGTTACAATCCTGCTTGAAGTTTAAGTCTACATTGTCCATCCACACAGAGTGTCCAGGAGAGGAAGGTCGTAATTGGACAATATACTTGTCTTGTCTGCAGAGAACGTGGCGTGGATGTTTCTTGCCCACTGTTGGCAGCTCGCTAAATCGGCTTGGACGTTGGCTAAGTTACCAGCCAGGGAATCAGTACCTGTGTGAACGTTGAGGAGGGTGACATCATCTGCAAACAGATAGGGGGAAGTATGCTTTACAATTTCAGGGGAGAGAGTTGATAAGTACATGTATAAGGAAGAGAAGGGGTGCTAGATGGGACCCTTTTGGGATTCCACAGGACAACTCATAGCGTTCAGATACTGCATCCTCTAGGCGTACTGATAGGCTTCTTTATTAATGCGATTAATAGTATAAGTGAAGCGGACATTACAAAATGATGAATGAGAATACATGTATCTAAAATGCCTGTTCCTAATCGATATTCTTGAGACTATCATCAGGGAAAAATTCGTCTCACAATTGAGGCTATACGGAGAAATAAACTACTTATAGGTTATCGGATAGTGGGAAGTATACAAGGTGAGGTGTGAAAAAAAAACTAACTAAAGTGGGAGAGAAGACGAAAGAAATTAGAAGAAAAGATGTGAGAGTGTTCCGACGGTGTGAGCTACTACAAAAGGTGAGTGAAATGAAGGCGTGGAAGCAGGTGAATGTGGTAGAGTGAGGAACTGTGAGGTGTAGGTGTATGCGAATGAATACGTGTGTGAATGCTAGGTGAAGAGTCTCAGTTTTGTGACATTTTCTTTCTGAATGCATAGATTAGGATTGTGTTTACGGATGAAAACAGCTTCTAATACCTTAACTTGTTTTCATCCGTAAACACAATCCTAATCTATGCATTCAGAAAGAAAATGTCACAAAACTGAGACTCTTCACCTAGCATTCACACACGTATTCATTCGCATACACCTACACCTCACAGTTCCTCACTCTATCACATTCACCTGCTTCCACGCCTTCATTTCACTCACCTTTTGTAGTAGCTCACACCGTCGGAACACTCTCACATCTTTTCTTCTAATTTCTTTCGTCTTCTCTCCCACTTAAGTTAGTTTTTTTTCACACTTCGCCTTGTATACTTCCCACTATCCGATAACCTATAATTAGTTTGTTTCTCCGTATAGCCTCTATTGTGAAACGAATTTTTCCCTGATGATAGTCTCAAGAAAATCGATTAGGAACAAGCATTTTAGATACATGTATTCTCATTCATCATTTTGTAATATCCGCTTCACTTATACTATTAATCGCATTAATAAAGTTATTGTCTCCTCGTCGCCTTTTGATAGGCTTCTGTTGCATAGAATTGATAGCTCTCAAACCAGGGAATTGCTTCCTGTTCCACGAAATCGCTCAGATTGCTGATCAGGCGTATTATCTCTAAAATAAGCACGGTCCTTTATTTTTTCAATGTGCCTCCGCCCCGTGCTATTAATGGAGACGTTCCTTTATTGGAGACTGTTCCATTATTATTTAAACCTCATTTCAGAGGCATGTTGCCATGCCAAATTCATGTGAGACACACACATTTCAGGGGGTTTTCGCCGGTACAGATAAAGAATTTACACAGTGTGCTTATAATGGAGGCTGATCACTTTCTTTTTTGAATGCCGCCCCAAGGTGTTCTATTATTGGAGACGTGCTATTATTGGAGATTGTGCTTATATTAGAGATAATACGGTACACTGTAGGTGATAGAAAGGGACATTCACTTTCGAATCCACTCCTCAAATGGCACTTAACGCCATTACGGCCTTTGCTCAGACAGACAGAAGAAGAACATGATTGTACTGTTACAGCGATCTACATGTACATGTACATGTACTAGTACCGCCCATTGTACATGTAACTTGAGTCGCCTTGATCTTGAAGTTGAATGCATTACGCTCTCCCTCTTACAGACCTATTATGCTAACTTTGGCGGTGATTTTCCGACACGGTATGTCGCGTGCCATTCACAAAAATTGATTCCATTATGTCCCTTGTCTCGGAATTCATCTTTGCATCGTTTGGGCTCATTATCTTCTCTCGCATCATTGATATTATGCTTCAAGGTACTATCTTCGAAGTAGATTACGCCCTGGGACAACTTGGATGGGCAGCAGAACGCACAATACAGTAAAGGGGTATTCGCGACTGAAAAGATAGAAAAAAATAACTGAGGGACACCAAAAAGGAGGAAAGAGTGAGATATGAAAAAGGTTACAGAATGTCGTTGAAGCCCACTTACTAATGCACGTACATGTACATGTACATGGTTGGAATGTCGCTTTTGAAAGCACTCCATGAACTCCAGTCGCGTCACTCAAGTACGCGCCGGCCGTTGCGCCGCCCTGGACCTGCGAACACTGGGCTGCGAAATGATGCAAGGTGAAAGCAGGCACTTTCCTGATGAGAGCCGAGGACATTATAGTATGATCATACACACGTACATGCACATGTAACTGTTATACATGACTGTGTATTTTTCTTCTGACGGCTGTACTGTACACTCCCTCAAACTATAAAACCCCGAAGGTGCTTAAAACCAGCAGAATCAAAATACAATCATGCAAAATCATTCATTGAGTGATAGAGTAGTGAGTGACATGTCAAAGTGCTGCCACATGTTTATACGACATCAGCTAGAGGGGAAATGTTTATAACCTTGCCATAAAGAACAAATTCGGTATACATGTATGTATAGTCGAAACGTCTGATTTGTGTGTAGGACATGTTTATGTACATGACTTGTACATGTACCTGTGGACAATACTGCGCCAGAGTGTACACGGATAACAACACATAATACAAGTTGGCCCTCTAAAGTCTGTTCAGAAAATTCAAAATAAGAAAGCGTACAGAGTAAACATGTCCTTAAACAGAATTTGCATGGGCGGGGCGGAAGCTCCAAATTGTGAAAGAAATGATGATTTTGGCAGATAAATTAAAAGGTGACTAATAGTGACGTGTGCCCTGGTAATGATTTTCATCTAGGTTTTCAAGCAGAGTACAAAAATGAATGTACTGGTATGGGCATGGAAATCCGGTCGCACGTCTAGCGGCCCCAGGGCGCCGGCCATGCAGCCATGGGTAAGCGGTACACACATGAATTTATCGCGTGGATCAACATTTGCACTGCATGCAATGCTCTCTACGCCCTGAGGGCGTCGGTCCCGGTCATTTGACTGGATTTCCATGTCCACGAAAGTAGATGACGTTAGAAGGTAACGGATTTCACCCAAGGCCGGGCTTTGTTGTTGTTGTTTCTTTATTTTACTTCACCATATGAACAGGCAAGACTGCCTTCTCACCGGGGCTATTGGCCCACGGCTCTCACAATATGATGAAAATGTTTAAAATGTGTATGAAGAAGAAAGGAACGGAAAAGAAGATGAAATGAAAGGAAAGAAAACAGTAGGTATTAATTTTATGAAGGGGCTTTGCACAAATGAAGCTAACCGACCCTAGATTCATACATGTTTTGTAACTATATCGGTTGTATTGATTCTAATGTCACAGTTTTAAACATCTTTGTAAGTATACGTTGTAGATTGGCACATAAAAGTAGACAAAGACGTGTCGCAGGGTATGTCATTCCACGTACCACGGGATAGTTCCATGCAGTCCTCTCCCGTGGGACCATCATTGTTCGGTTCGCGGCTGTGCCACCTTGAGAGGGTTACGGGTTGGCCATCTATAATCCACCGCCACCTGCCCTCGCTGCCGCTATCTGTGCCGCCCAGCCACATCCTAGTTTCGTAGTATCCATTCGTCCTCACCAAATCAATTATATTCCGGTACTCATCATCATTCCTCGCCACGGCAAGGTCGCCGCCGTTCCAGCCGCACGTCTCTCTTGCGCTATTCCAGTCTTTTTCAGCGTTCACGTAGATTTGGTAGTATATCCGTGGGACACGAATCCTACGCCTGGTCGTTACTGTCTCCGTAGTTGGCTCAGTCGTTGGGACAGTCGTCGGAATGGTTGTTGGAGTAGTAGTTGGGGAAGTAGTTACACCAATGTATTTTGTATACTGGCACACAAAACCAGGCACAGTCGCGTCGCAGGGCAAGTCATTCCATGAACCGCTGCTCAAGTCCATGCAGTCTTCATTATAGCCACGAAAGCTGTTCGGTTCACCAGTGGCCCACCTTGAGAGGGTGACGGCTTGGCCATCTATAATCCACCTCCATTTGCCCTCGCTACGGCTATCTGTGCCGCCAAGCCACACCCAAGTTTCGTAATTCCCACTGCTCCTCATCAGCTCGACTATTTCGCGGTGCTCATCATCATTCCTCGCCGCGGCCAGATCTCCGCCTCGTGAGCGGCAGACCTCTCTGGCGCTATTCCAGTCAACGTTTTGGGGCAAGAAGAGCTCATATTCTATCCTTGGGACGCGAATGGTTACTGCCTCTGTAGTTGACACAGTCGTTGGCACAGTCGTTGGCACAGTCGTTGACACAGTCGTTGGCACAGTCGTTGGCACAGTCGTTGGCACAGTCGTTGGCACAGTCGTCGGACTGGTTGTTAGAATAGTAGTTGCAACCGGAGTTCCCTCAGTAGTTGGACGAGAGGTTGGGTTGGACGGGCGCACGGCGACGGTTGAATCGATCCTAACCAGTGCTTTGAAGATGTGTTCCATCAGGCCTCGGATCGAGCTGACAGCCGATGTAAACGTACTTTTAACGGCTTCTACGTTGTCCTGAACTGACTTGGTCATGTTGGCGAACTGCGCATCACTGCGTTCCATGGTCAACCACTTCTCCTCACAGCGACGGCCTCCGTAACCAATGGTACAATCGCAGGTGAAATTCGCACCGTTGCTCTTGCAGAAACCGCCATTAAGACAAGACTCTTCATCGCATGCATCCTTCTGCCTGCACGCGAAGCGCGGCCTTAATGTCTGAGAGAGCAGAGCGCAGGTGGAGTTCTCGTCACAGGGCGCATAATATTGACAACTCGCAGGTCGACTTGACTCTCCGACAAACTGAGAGTAACACCCGACAATCTTGATCTGATCCGAGTTGTCGGTGATTCCTATATCGGTCAGTGTTTCGCGTGAGGCCATTCCCAAGTCTTCTGCCCTGGCATCCACCAGAGCTAAGTATTTAGAGTACTTGTGAGCTGTTTTCCTTGCGATTCCGGCATTGGTGAGCATATTCACGACACAATCGCGTGATATTTCTGGTCTTGGCGAGGCGTTCACAAATACCAATATAGCCAGTAGGCATGCAGCAATGACCATCACACCAGAGCGTGATGCCATTTTAAAAGCTCTTCTTCTACTCAATGTCTGAGAAACAGCGCTAATCTGCACATTCAAGGAGTGTCTTCTGCTTTTGAGCTGTTATCAGACTGCCTATCTCCGGAGACGAACTGATGCTCCTTGCTGCTTTTCCTCTGAATATATATTGTTCGAGCTTTGTGTTCCGAGACAGCGGTATGGAGAGCTAGCTCAATCGATCACCAAAGTATAATTGAACTACCATGATTGCACATGATGTACGGCAGGGTGGTGACTTGGGGGTGGTGCTCAGTCCCTTAGTACGCACTTTCAGAGGCACACGACCAAATTATTAATATTAGTTTAAGCGGAATCATAATTATTAGCTAGTAAGGTGTAATGGTGTTTCGTGGCACGTTTATGTGCGGGTTTTGATAGCGTGTGTACAATGGTCTTTATCCCATGCTAAATCATGCAGTGCTAAAGTGCCAGGCCAGATGGCCAACAAACAGGTGCACCAGTTTTGTGTACATGTACTTGGACGTACAGGGATAGGGCCAGGGATAATTAGGTACCCTTGAGTAACATACTTGCTAAATTTAATATTATGCGGAGATAATAACTTTTGTGAAATGGGTTTACAGGGTGAAGATAGCTCTGGCTCGTCGAACCTCTTGAGTAAAGTCACGCTCGTCCGCTTCCCAACAAGCGGCTGTACAATTGTGTTGAGAAACACAACCAGCTTAGGACGTTTCGCTTGTGCCAGACCACCACCACGCCTGTGTTGCCCTTCAAGAAGTTGAAGAGCCTTGTATTGTCGTATCGTAACACGGTTAGTCAGGCACATAAAGAAAACAGGTAGTTTAGAGTAAACGTTACTGTATCCTTTGTCATAGTCCCAGTAACAGCACTCGGACTCCATCTCAACCCTCCGAAATGAATACAGCTTCCTATGCTAGACGACGAAAATCGCATGCATGTACATGTACATGTACATGTACATGTACATGTACATGTGGATGCATAGCGTTAGTCGACGTGAGGTTTTAGCCCCCCCCCCCCCCCCGCCCATGCAGCGAATACAGTGTGTTTCGTCGCTGAGGGACATGAAGTCTGAGCGTTCCATTAACGCATTCACATGACTCACAGACTGCACATGTATCCTACTACGTATATGCAACAGTCAATACAATTATGGACTTTGTCAAGCTTGATTGACGAAGTGACCACTTACTGTACATTTAAACGTACAATGTAGTAAGTTGATAGAAAGGGATATTCACACTTTCTAATCCACTCCTCATATGGCACTGAACGCCATTACGGCCTTTGCTCAGACAGACGGCCGAAGAAGGCAGCTACGACATAATCACCTTTGTCCAAGGAGAGCATCCAGTCGTTGATCATGGGGTGAGCAAGTCCTCGCAGGAGTGGCCTCTGCGGTAGGCAAATTGCTCAGCAGGTAGGGGTAACAGTGGTGGTGTTGCATTATAGATATAGTACATTAGTTGGTCGTGTACAATATGTTCCAGTAGCTTAGACATGTGGGACAGGAGTGATATTGGTCTAGACTATAGTCGGATGGGGCTGACTAATCTCCACGCTTGTAGATAGACCGCACATTTGCTAGATTGTAAGTCAATGGAAAATCGCCAGACGTAAGAGACATGGTAAATAGTTTGGCTAAAGATGGGGCGATCTCATCTTTGATGAGCTTGTAGGCCTGGGGGGGGGGGGGGGATGTTATCATGTCCTGTGGCTTTACGACTGTTCATTCTCTGGATATGGAGTTGGACTTGTGGAACGGAGACTGGTGTGAACTGTGTCAGGGAGTATTCCGATACAGGGCCATTGGGAGTGCGTAGTGTACTGCCAGAAAGTGATTTATCGTTGACAACGTCTGTAAATGTCTTTGTGATGTCGGCTACTTCGGCAGCACGTTCCTAGTTGATTTTAATTCTACCCAGTAGATTGTTCATGACACTCCATTGCTCTCTTGGGTGGTTTCGATGATTGATTAGTTGTTGCTGGAAGTATGTAGACCGTTTCTTCCTGGTTAAAAGTTTACATTGTCTTCGTAGAGTTCGGAATTGTTGCAGCAGGTCTGAGCGATCAGGACGTTTTATCATTGCACGGTGTGCTCGTTTACGCTTGAATAAAGTCTGCCGAAGCTCATCGTCTACCTAAGGCGATGGAGTATAGCTCTTCTTGGCGTTAACACTCTTTAGTTGGCAGTACTCATTCAAGGCATCACTGACTGCATCCTGCCAGTGTTCAGTATAACTACATGTACATGTATCTAGAAACAATCATCTGTGATGAACTGCGTGTGATCTGCTGGTGGAGAGTAGACATATGTTTAGCAGCTGTCTCTTGGAATTGCTTGATCTTCAACGTACTCAGCGGTGGCTTTCGTACTTGTACCTGTCTGTTTGTCTTGAGCGTGCTGGTGGTAGCATGGATAGTGTAGTTCACACGAACAAGTTGTTGATCGGAAATATCACATGGAGTAACATTGCAGTCTTTGTAAATCAGTTCATCCCTGCCTAGTCTTGCAGTGGACGTGGTGGAGGAAGAGCTTGAGATCAGTGCTAGGTCTATGGTTGCTGCACTGGGGAATCTAGTTGGTGACGTGACAACGTTTTGTAGAGCAAAATCATAGCAGAATGTTCGTAGGTGAGGGTAGTGTGCGTGACTAGGGGTCTTGGATATTGACATTGAAATCGCCTAGAATTATGCACGCGGAGGAGGCTGGTGTACAGTCCAGTATGTCATCAGTTAGGCTAGATAAGCTTTGCCAAAATGCTACAGGTACTGTTGGAGCTCTATATGCACTGAGAGGATAGTGAGAGGCTGGGGGTGAATGTTCACGTGTACTGCGAGGGCTTCAACGGGAGAGAAGTGATGTAGTGCTCGATTACCAAAGCCTTCTCTTACGTATATACTGACACCACCTCCTCTCTAGCTCGTGTATGCAACAGTCAATCTCGACTTTCTCAAGCTTGAGTGACGAAGTGACCACCTACATGTATATGTACATGTAGGTGCACTTGTACATGTACATGTACATTGTATGTGATAGAAAGGGAAATTCACTTCGAATCCACTTGGAAAGTTGACGGTTATGTACATATATAGTACATGTACATGTAGGACCGAAAAGAGGAAGGTGAGCGCTGGGAAAATGTGCACAAGCTACATGTAAGTCCCACGGCAACTAACAATACGGCGAAACGTACATGTACGTCATGTGAAAATACTTTTAATGTAGTCAACTCGTCCACAATAGTGTAATGCATGAGGAGTACTGTTAGATTTTGGCGTCCGGTTTTGTACGATTCGTTTTCGCAAAGCTTCCCCTTCCTTTCCCTCTGATATTGCTGAGCCAGCCAAGTTAGGTGGTGCGTTGCTTTGCTGCTTCGAATTGAAGTTAGGGCACATTGTCATGTTATGGGAACAATGGGAGAATAAGGGTTAACAGGTCTCGTCATCGTCCTGTTGCCGTGGGACTTAAGCTTGTGGACGTTTCCGCTGCGCTCGCCCTCCCCTCTTCGGTCTTACCCAACCGTGAACCTTCTATGTTAAACGTCTCAGTTCGGTGCCCTGTTATTGCACTTTCTGACTGCTTATTATCAGATTCTTGTTACAGTCTTGGATAGGTGTTTCATAACTCGTTCCCATGTGTTTCTCTTCTATACTTTGTTTAAATTTGTCTATTTTCTTACTATGTTCACATTCCCAGCTCGAAAATAATAAAGAAAAACAATGGTACTCAGACTAGGACAAACGTGATTACTAATGAGCAGAGACAGTTCATAAGAATTAGGACACTCTCAAGTAGTGGAATACATGTATCGGTAAATGATATGTCATTTCTGAAAAGCTCAGAAGATATTCCTGGATGTGCCTACATGTATATTATTCGGGAGATTTCATAACTTTTTCCATGATTCCTGTTTTTTTTAATGATCACCCCAGCATATTTTGCTTGAAACACTATACCACTCCATACTGCGCTCTTGGCTCACATCCACAACACAATAGCGTGGAAATTCGTGCTTGGTTAGATGTTGCATATCCTCCAAACAACTGATTTGCTCTTTGCAAGCTCACCAGTGGAGGTACATGTAGATAACGAAGGAAATAATGGAATGAATATTATTTGTGTAGGGTAAAGTGGAAATTTGGGAAAATAGACCTGTACAATACAACTCGTTATGCAAATAAAAAAATGAATATAATTACAAAACACTGAGGACTGTGAACACACTGTATACAGGTACGTTTACTGTGTAATAATTTTTTAATACGGTTTTTAAAGAGGATTTGTAGATTCTGGCATGAAGAGTACTGAGTAACGTTACAATTGAACGTGCAGGTGCAGAAACTCTACCGCGAGAAAGAACTGATGATTGTGGCAGATCAAATCAAAGTTGAGATGGTAGCTACACGCATTACAGTACCACTATCAGTGACGTTTGATCTCGAAATGCTTTGTATCAAGGTTTTCAAAGAGAGCAGAGGTGATGTTAGAAGTTCACGGACTGCACCTAAACTAATGCTTTGTACAAAATAACAGTTCCTAGTTTCAAACATAATTTGCAACAGTTTCGATTGTATTCACTTCAGTATCACAGTTTTTAAACATACTTGTAACTGTATCTTGTATACTGGCAAATGAAACCATGGATAGGCCGGTCGCAGGGCAAGTCATTCCATGAGCCACGGACGAACTGCATGCAGTCCTCTTCATGGCCAGCGTAGTCGTTGTTCGGTTCACCACTGTTCCACCTGGAGAAGGCGACCGCTTCGCCAGTAATCCACCGCCACCTGCCCTCAATACCTCTGTCCGTGGCACCCAGCCACACGCTAGTGTCGTAGTTACTACCGCTCATCAGCTGGGCTAGCTTCGTGTGCTCCTCATAGTTTCTTGCAACGGCCAGGTCGCCGCCGCGCAAGTTGCAAATGCCACTGGCGCTATGCCAGTCAACGTCATAGGGCACGTTGAGCTCGTACTCTGTTCGTGCCACGCGAATCCTACGCTTGGTCGTTACTGTCTCCGTAGTTGGCACAGTCGTTGGGACAGTCGTCGGAACAGTTGTTGGAGTAGTAGTTGGGGAAGTAGTTACACCAATGTATTTTGTATACTGGCACACAAAACCAGGCACAGTCGCGTCGCAGGGCAAGTCATTCCATGAACCGCTGCTCAAGTCCATGCAGTCTTCATTATAGCCACGAAAGCTGTTCGGTTCACCAGTGGCCCACCTTGAGAGGGTGACGGCTTGGCCATCTATAATCCACCTCCATTTGCCCTCGCTACGGCTATCTGTGCCGCCAAGCCACACCCAAGTTTCGTAATTCCCACTGCTCCTCATCAGCTCGACTATTTCGCGGTGCTCATCATCATTCCTCACCGCGGCCAGATCTCCGCCGCGTGAGCGGCAGACCTCTCTGGCGCTATTCCAGTCAACGTTTTGGGGCAAGAAGAGCTCATATTCTATCCTTGGGACGCGAATCGTTACTGCCTCTGTAGTTGACACAGTCGTTGACACAGTCGTCGGACTGGTTGTTAGGATAGTAGCTGCAACCGGAGTTACCTCAGTAGTTGGACGAGAGGTTGGTTTGGACGGGCGCACGGCGACGGTTGAATCGATTCTAACCAGTGCGTTGAAGATGTGTTCCATCAGGCTTTGAATCGAGCTGACAGCCGACATAACAGTACTTTTAAGGCTGTCTACACTGTCCTGAACAGACTTGGTCGTGTTGGCGAACTGCGCATCACTGCTTTCCATGGTCAGCCACTTCACCTCACATCGACGGCCTCGGTAACCAATGGTGCAATCACAGGTGTAATTCGCACCGGTGCTCTTGCAGAAACCGCCATTAAGACAAGACCCTCCACCGCATGCGTCCTTTTGCTTGCACACGAAACGGGGCTTTGATGTGCGAGAGAGCATAGCGCAGGTGGAGTTCCTGTCACATGGCGCATAATATTGGCAACTCGCAGGTCGACTTGGCTCGCCCACAGACGGTGAGTAGCACCGGGCAATCTTGCTCTGGTCCAAGATGTCCGTAATGCCTATCCTGGTAAGTGATTCGCGTGAGGCCGTTCCCAAGTCGTCTGGCCTGGCATCCGCAAGGGCTAAGTATTTGGCGTATTTGCGAGCCGTCCTTCTGGTGATTCCGGCTCTTGTGAGCATATTCACGACACAGTCGCGTGATGTTTCTGGTGGTGGTGAGGAGCTCACAGACACCAATAGAGCCATGAGGCAGGCAGCAAGAACCAGGCCATTAGACCGTGATACCATTTTAAAAGGCTAGTACAGCAACTCAATGAATTCCAAACGTCACTGATCTTCACGTTCAAGGAGTTTCGTCTACCTTTGAGCTTTTATTATACTGCCTGTCCGTGGAGCAGAATTGGTTTTCCTTGCCGTTTTTGGTCCGATTATATACTGCTCGAGATCTATGCTGCGAGACATTGCGATAGGCCAGACCTTCCGCAGTCAATCATGAAAATAGTATGAAATACAATATGTACATGACTATAGAGGAATTCATGTACACTGTATGTGTATGCTTCTAAACCAGGGCAGCACTTTGGTGGTTTTCATTCATCTCGCCCCGCACTGTCAAAGTCACACGACCAATTATTCTAAACGGAATTATTGCTAGTATTGGCCTGTAAAGGTAATGACGTTTTGTGGCACGTTCATGCGTGGGTTTCGTTGGCGTGTTTGCATGTTCTTGACCACCTGCTGAAGCATGCAGTGCTCACAATGTCATGTCAGGGACAGGTTGTCAATGACTTACATGTACATGTAGGTATACATGTAGGTGCATCAGTATTATGTACAAGCACTTCGACGTACAATGTACAAGGATATGGGTAATAATTAATTTACGCTACGTTTTATGCGGAGATGGTGTCGGTACTATAACTTATGTGAGTGGGCGAAAACAGCTCTGGCTCGTGGAACCCCTTGTATTGTCGCACTGTGACATTACACGTGACTCATTCGTATCAACAAAACAGGGTTTTGGGGGTAGCAGACTAGCAGTTATTGTGTCCTTTGTCTCAGCACCGCCACAGTATTATAATGTCTGCATACAGAGATTATAACTTCATATCGCTGAGCGTGCTATCGACATGATATCACTGACTAACAACATGTCTCCCAGCTCGTGTATGCAACAGTCAATCTCGACTTTGTCAAGCTTGAGTGACGAATGGACCACCTACATGTACTTGTACATACCCTGTATTTGGAAGTGATTGAAAGGGTCATTCATTTTTGAATCCACTGCTCGTGTGGCTCTGAACGCAGTTATTCAACTTTAATAATGATGCCCGTTGCTCAGACAGACGGCCGAAATTCATGTACTTGGAAAGCCATCTAAATCCAGTACCCTAGTTCTTGAATGCCTTAGAGATGATGTTTTATGCAAAGTCGCCCCATTGGATTTCCATCACAGTACTTCGCGTGCCATTCGGCAAATTATTTGATCCCGTTCTACCCTTTACATGTGCATGACTGTACATTTTCTTCTCTCGTTTCATTCACATTATGCTGTAAGAGTACCGTCTGCGAGTTAGATTACATTTGACAGTACTTTGGGAACATTGATGGGATGGGTAACGATACATAAAACACAGTAAATGGATATTGAGGACTGCAACGGCAGAAAGCAAAATAGCGCAGGGCAACCAGAAAGGGAGAAAGGGAGTAAGGCAGAGAGATAGATAGATAGAGAGAGAGAGAGAGAGAGAGAGAGAGAGAGAGAGAGAGAGAGAGAGAGAGAGAGAGAGAGAGAGAGAGAGAGAGAGAGAAAGAAAGAAAGAGAGAGACGGAGAGAGAGAGACAGAGAGAGAGAGAGAGAGAGAGAGAGAGAGAGAGAGAGAGAGAGAGAGAGAGAGAGAGAGAGAGAGAGAGAGAGAGAGAGAGAGAGAGAGAGAGAGAGAGAGAGAGAGAGAGAGAGAGAGAGAGAGAGAAGAGAGAGAGAGAGAGAGAGAGAGAGAGAGAGAGAGAGAGAGAGAAGGAGAGAGAGAGATCTTAATGTAAAAATAATCTCCTGGAAGCCCCAATTGCTACAAGGAACGTTGCTTTCACTTCATTATTATATTGAAACTATATGCCTGGCAAAGCGTGCAAGTAGGTTGATGAGAGGCGAGAAGAGTATACATGTACATGTAGAGGACATCAGCTAGTGGGGAAACACAGCCGACAATACGGTACCAGAGTATGAAAGAATAACAACATATAAAATATGGCCTTCCAAAGTCTACTCAAAATGCAGTGGACGTATAGAGCATTAGAGACACTAATCCGAAATCGTCATGACATAATGCAATTTCCATCCACGACTGGCACTATACTACTACATGTCTAAGGGTAGGTACAACGTACATGTATGTGTGTGCTAAACACTCCATGCACAAAATGAATACAATGTACATGTACAATGTACATGTACATATTAGGTATGCATATGTACTCAATCTGCGGACAGCATGCTGTTTCGTTCTTTGTTGACTCATCAGCGCAGCACAGAGAAAATGAGGCCGAACCTGATAGCAATGAAAATAAAATTTCCAAAAAAAAAGTTCACGTTTCTGAGACTCGGCCGAAGGCCCAGTTTTCCGCATCCGCAGGAACGCCACCACCCTCTTGGATCAAGGCGCAGATGCAGCTCCAAAGCTAGATTTAAATCAGGCCCGAATGTACCTTGCCAGAGTGCTCAAACTGACAAGTCAGTGAGCTCTAAGTAATGCAAACAGCAAAGGTACTACCGGTATACCCCACATGTATGTAGTTGCCCCCAGCCCCCACCCCCGCATGTGTACGTCATCAATAACCCAGTCCGTGAGGCAAAAGTAGCAACAGCCAATGGGGCATTCTGAGCTCACATGTCGGGCGCTGAAGCATGCGTCAAGCAATCGCTCAACTGGACAGTTCATAAGAATCATGACACTCTCAAGTACTGGAAAGTGGTGTTGGAATGTCATTAGTAGACATTACAGAAAAGTTGAAACAGCTGATGCCCTACGCGCACTATCCTCCACTATACACATGATACAAACAATGACATACTGTGCTGAGGAGCTCTAACAGAGCGAAACAGTTGCTGTCCACAGATTTGAGAAAACAATGACATACATGTACCTGTAACTGCACAGAAATGAGTGTGGGTAATATTATTTTGTTGGTTGCATCCAGTTAGCCGCAGGCAGCTGCGTCTAGTTATGTTGCATTCGGACGATCCTTGTACAAGTACATGTACATTTACATGTACGTTGGCAACAGTCAATGACTCTCACTTCATGCATCTTAGATGTTTTAGTAAGAAGGTTGTGATGCACGGATAAGCCGGATGTGAGTACAAATAATGACTCACATCCGTCTATAATGACTAAGGCCAGTAAGGGAAGGGGAGATCCGAAAAAGACTACAATCCATGTATTTCGCCTTGGTACTCAAGAAAAGGTGAATTGTTTGGTGTCTCAAACTTCACCCACAGTAGTGGACACGCCGAGAAGAATAGAAGGAGATCACTGCTGCTTGGTGCGATTCCTGGGATAAGCAGAGTGCACATCTTCCCTGTAAACTGTGGCTAGATTCATGTAACCTCAAAGTAGATCTGCTGTATTACATGTACAGTGCTGGCAACTGTAATCCGACCCCCTCGCCGGCGAGGGGGTCGGATTACAGTTGCCAGCATTGTACATTATACATGTACATGCGCATGCATACATGTAACTGTCACATGACCATGCATGCGGAACATTCATGTTCGTTCCAACCAAGTCATCATGAAGCAACTTTTGGGATCCATGCATGTACAAATATAACCTGTATACTTTCTCTCGCCGTGTAAACTTGAAGCTGTTTGTGTTTGTTTTTAGGTGTCTATCTCGTTGCACCAGTCCTCTTTTAAGCACGATATTTACCCCCCGCTCTGCATCATGCCGCACAAATGCTGCTACCCGCGGTCAAGCTTCAGCTGCTCTGAACCTACCCAGAGCTACGTCTCGTTACGGCCTGAATGCTATTTCATTTTTGGCAGCAGACAGATGGAACATGCTTCCACCTGGATGTCGTCAAGCTAAGCCCCTTTCTGCATTTGTCACAAGCACCAAGTCATTCCTAGGGTTCCCAGTAAAAAGGCAACGCCTGTTGGGAGTTCCCTAGTAAAATAATAAATTCTACTACTACTACTACAAAGACTACAATGCATACTATGCATCACATGATGTCCGCCATGTTGGTTCCAACTGTTCACGTGCCGTGATTAATTTCTGCACAAATTTCACCACATGACGTCATGAGAAGGATGTGAAGCCACTCTACTCTATTATCTTGTTGTCTTGCCAGATGCATATACATGTACATGTACACGGTTCCGACTGTTGGAATGCACTCCCCGCTGCAGTCCGCTTATGCTCTTCCCTGCATCTATTCCGTAATTCAGTACTTTCATTTCTAGGGTACCCTGTAAGAAGCCCTTAGGCCTGTGGGGATTGCCCTATCAAAAATTTGATAATAATAATAATAATGGATAGGTACATGTACATGTATACAAGGGTCCTGTAGGATTCGAACCTGAAATGATATACATGTATTGAATGAAGTCACAACGGATCAATGTGAATTTTACATTCAAGCTAGCCTTGTAAATGTACATGTAATATTCCGGTACAAGGTGTGGATCAGGCTTCTATAGCCTCATCCGTCTTTGAATGAATCACTCACGTTTATAATACCCGTTAACCCTCATGCCACACAAGAAAGACGAGCCCGTGGGGTGTCGCAAGCGTATATTCTAGCATGAACAATCATGAGCCTGTGATCGGTAATCAAGTGTGACGTACATGTACTCAGTACGAGGTCATGATTATAATGATGTACTAGAGTACACGTATCACGCATCAGAGAAGCAAGGACAGCAGAAGCGACCCGCGGGGTCCTGCGCCGTCGGAACCGCTACATGTACTTCTAGGTTGCTATGGCAGCGGAACACTAAATAATGGTACATGTAGACATGAATAGTTCAATAGTTCCGATATGCGTGCGCTATGCGGCGCCCATTGGCAGCACCCGTGCCTCCAATAAAGGTACCGAGTGGCTTGCGACACGCAGGCTCTAGTAGTGCTCTGGCATGCCTGCGGGCCTGCGAATGTACGTGCGATATGCCCCGCTGGACCAGCGGACTACAGCCTTCAGGGCATACTCTGGTGCGCCTCGATCCGCCATGCGCGTAAGGAATGGCTGCTGATGCTTGGACCTAGAACTTTGTGTAGGACAGCATTGATGTCGTCCGGCGTGTGATGGCAACCATCCTGAAACTTGAATAGGGGTTGCTTGTCATTGCTCCATTTGCTGGACCGAACGTAAGCCTGCAGGGCTCGGACGGGACATAGTGCAGGGTCAGCGTAGCGATGCAGAGCTACCTCCCCACCTGTT